TAATAAACCATTTATTTAATTTATTATTCACATAATAAATTAATCTCTCTCTCTCTCTCTCTCTCTCTCTCTAAAATCATCCTGTCAAATTGCTGGGTTTGAGAGCAACCCAAAAGGACTGTGTTACTATCAATTCAAATATATACCAATTTTAGTTATGAGCTTAGATATATAATCCAACAAATAACATGAGAGCTTATTTAATTTTTTCACGTAGTTTATAAGTTTTTGACATGAACTTCTTCAATGATTCGGATAGGTCCCATAGATTTTCAACCAACTTTAAATAGACAACTTATACACACAACCATAAAATGATATAAATAAAATTAGTGGGTCATATAGTTGATGAAAAAATCTCCTATCATGGAGATTGTTTTGAGGTATTTGAGTTGATGAGTTGTGTTTAAGTTTTATGAAAAATATCAATAAATAAACTCTACTGTTATGGATAGTGGTTTAATCTTTCAAATAAGTCATGTTAGATTTTGCAATTGAAATGTTAATACTCTTTCAAAAGTAGTCCCTATTAGCATACAAAAACTAGTTCATAATATTGAACTAATATTTTAATTATTTATAATAGTAAATAGTAATTCAAATATATATACATATAAGTAATTTGTAATATAATGAACACATCATTATCAAGTATATAATAATATGGAAGTTATTAAGTATATTTATAAATAATTGATATAATTAATTTAATATTCTAATATACATGATCTGATATTCTAATAAATTACTATTAAAAAAGGCTTCTACTTAATTGGCACTGCAAACAAGATTTTAGAATTTGAAAGGCAACTTGGTAGTATTAGTGACACGATAGTGCCATATCACTTGCTAGTGAAAGTCGTGAATGACTTGAAAATGGTTTGTGATGTGTCTGCTAACGAGGCAGCTGAGCTGGCAGTGGTTATGAGACCTCAAATACATATCTTTTGCGGTGATAATATATGCTTTTGAGAGGTCACAAATTAAGGGTAAGCTCGGTTTTGATTAATAAGAGAACAAGTTAGAAACATATGTTGAACAATTTAAGCTTGCTGGGACTTTAGAGGTTGACATATCTAAAGTGTTAAAGAATCAATATTCAAATGTGACGAATAAAGCAATCATGATAACAAAAAGATCCAACAATCTTAAATATTTGATGTTCATCTAATTAAAGAAATTGCGTTTTTTCTTTTAGTTTTGGAAACGGGTCTAGTTTACTTTTCAAAATGTCTCATAATCAAGGAGTTGTGCTTATATTTTTTTGTTTATTTTATTTTATTTTTATTTTTATTTTTTTATCATGAGTCGGGTAATTTTAAATAGATACAAACAATAAAGCTGAAAGTAAAAAAAATATATATCAAAAGATAATAATATATGAAAAACACTACTATAAGCCTAAGGGGTATGATCACATCCAACCCACCCAAAAAGTGATGTCACCTCAGCGCCATGTCAGCTCCACTGCAAACCCACGACTAAACCACTAGCTCTTGTAAATGGTTACCAATCCACATCATTTTTTTTACATTAGAATAAATTAAAAAATAATTATTAAACAAAAATAAAAACATAAATATTAATTAAAAACATTTTACATTAATTAAAAAAAAAAAAATTTAAATTCTAAATTACTTAAAAAACATAAACATTTTAAACCTAAATTACTAACAAAAACATAGAAAATATTACTTGTCGTCGGTGTGGTCCGCGTCGCCATCGACCCCGTTTTCGTCATTCGCGTCCTCATCCTCATCGTCATCATTGCCATCGTGTTGTTGGAATGAGACATATTTTTACAAAATTGTCTATTATAAAAACTTAAAATACAATTGCAATAAACAATTCTAGTCACTGTTGGGCCGAGTGTGATATGATACTAGGAGGTGGGCTGAGCCTTGGTCGCCATCCATTCTCGTATAGTGTTGACCTGAAAGTGGCCCATTAATGTTTAGGCTCGATCCAGTAGTCCGTATGGAACATGTTGGTATGGGGAGCCCAATATTAGACGATGATTTCCTCATGAATGATGTAAGTTAAAATATATACAAATTAACAGGGGTATAGTTATAATATATTCTAAAACATATCATGCCTAAACTGACTCAAAAGCTTGTCATATGAAGAAAGACTGCAACTATTTACGTTGGCATAATTAAATATATTGGGCTTTTATTTAGCAATTTAGCTAGGTTAGACCAAATAAATTGTCTTTCACTTTAATTGAAATTTACCTTTTCCTTAGATGATAAACCCTAGCTCTATTCCCTTTTATTTTGTTATCAGTTTACATTTACGTCCATTTTAAGTTTTGAAGATCAAGGATATGTCGCGCGTGATTACATGGTTATAGTGGTCCTCCTCCCATTAACTTGGGATGTTTCCACATTTTCATACTTAGCTGTAGAATTGACATACTGAGGCCCATTAAGTTGGGTCCTCAATTCCTCATACCTAGTGTGGGTGTATTAGGTTCATGCATAGAGACTTTAGTGTTCTCATCTTTGGAATTGACGATACATATCCGTTCATTTGGGTGTTTTCACCTAACTTTCCTTTCTTGTCATGGAGTTGTTGGATTCATTAATCTCAGTCTTAATCTCTCTCTCCCAAATTAACGGCTACTTACCCATTCATTTTGTTTTTTTTTTCTCAATTTTATTGGGTTTAGAGGTATTGAGCTCATTTCCGTGGGCCTTAAATCTTAATGTCTACTTAGACATGAACAAAAAGATTAGTCCCGAAAAGACTGAGACTAACGGTGTGAAAATAGACCAGTCCTAAAAAAACCGGATCGAAAAAAGACTTGCCCTAGATCTTTCGGGACCGATCCAAAAAAAGAACAGACTATTCCGATATTTGTCTAAAAAAAGACCGAACCGATCTAATAACGATCTAATAAAACAGAAACCAAAGTTTATATACATATCATTTTTGTGTTAATTACACATTTTTTTAATCACGCATTAACCAACTTTTTCCGTTATTTCTCTTATTAAATTTTAGTGTATCATTTTTAATAAATCTTAATGTTAACAGAGAAACTCGAAACCGAAAGTACCAAAAGTGAACCAAAACCCCCGAAACAGAACTGAAAAATGTGCAAGAAAAGACTGTGATACTGGACCGAAAAGACTGAGACCGGTCTAAAAAGAACAGTCCGAGACCGTCCGGACCGAAAAAAGACCGGACTGTTCTAGTCCCCAAAAAACCAGACCGTTACGAAACCGACCCGAGACCGGTACTGCCAATGTGCATCTCTATCTTCATATAATTATATTTGGAACTGAAGACCTCACCAATGTCCATTCATACGGACTTTGTTCAAATGCCAAATAGTTCTAAGCCGATGCTAGTTTTGTTGAAGTGTTGTGGGATATTTTGCATAACTAATATGAAAAGCCTGCTTTTGATTTGCATTGGTTTTCTATCAAAGTTAATGGATAATCATAAAAATGGACATATGTAACATTTCATAATTTGATCAACTATTTGACCCATAACACGAAATGACCACCCATTTGCAATGGGTCAATTAGGAAACTGCAAAATTACTTTTTTTATTTTCTTGCGAAATGACATTATCATTTTTAAAGACCAACATTTTCCCAATATAATTGCAAAAGATGTTTTTTTTTCGATTTTTTTTTGAATTTCTTTTCACAATGTTTGTCATTGTTCAAATACAGGAGCTGGATTATTGAGTTACTATTAAGCAAACATTGATATTGGAAAAACACAGAAATTATGTCATTATGTTATTAGGGCATTTCCAAGATTTGGTGTTCTTATACAAACATTCATAGATAGACGCCTGCAAGACACTAGAAACACAACACCTATGAATATACTCCCAACACATTAATTTAATTTCCTTTTTTTTTATGTATAAACCTTTTATTTTATTAAATCCGCAGACACACAAACACCATTACTGTAGGTTTTTGATCTTAAACAGTTGCAATTGGGTCGACTCTGATGGTGTCTTCCATAGCTGTCTTAAAAGCTTCAAATCGGGGCTCTTTTGCCTGAAACTTCACTTGTGCATAGAGCTTCATGTAATCCTCAAACACAAATTTCGGGTAGATATTGTTTTTCTCTTCTGCTTTGTTTACTAGTTCTGGGGCAGGGTAGATCACAGCATCACTGCCCGGATTGTAAAATGATGCAATCGACATGCGGGTCCCATCTGTTTGAGCAATCACTCTATGCATCACACTCTTGTACCTTCCATTTGTAATCACCTGAAAAAGAAAGATAATGTTTTTAGTACACCCTTTATTGTTTCAAGAAACGGGTATGATTCTTTAAGCATGAAGTACAACATTTTATTGCAATACTCTATACTTGGGCTAAATGCAAGAAGTTAGCAATGTACTTTTATTTATTTGTGTATTATAGAATCATATTTTCATTTCTTTCTTACATACTTTGAAAAATCTACCCAACTATAGCATTGTAGCATAACATCCTACTTTAATTTCTTTTTGTTATATTATTGTACTTTTGTTTTTTTTATTAAGGCCCTTGTACTTTGAAAAATCTACCAAATTATAGCATTGTACTTTTAATTTATTTCTGATTTAAGACATTATATTTTGAAAGTTCTATCCACTTATACCTTTCTATTTGGATGACATTGCTACATTTAGATCGATTTTTCAAAGTACAATGTTGTGATAGAAACAAATAGAAGTAGATTGTTATATATATAAAAAAACAAATCAATGAAAGTATGTTGCTATTTCTTGCATATGTTTAAATGGGGTTTGGTTTATATTGTTGTTATATATACCTCAAGCTGATCACCCAAGTTGATGACAATCGAATGATGCATAGGTGGCACATCAATCCATTCTCCATCTTTAAGTAACTGGAGCCCACTGACCTTATCGTCCTGAAAGAGCAATATAACACCGCCAGCATCGGTGTGGGCCCGCAGACCCTTGATAAGATCGGGCTTGGGGCAAGGAGGATAATTGCTCACCTTGGTCCCAAAGGTGGGGCCCTTGGAACCATAGAAAGCTTTCTTGAGATAACCCTTCTCCAATCCCAAATTCTCACATAATATGTCTAAGATATTTTCAGCTAGTTTCTCAATTTCTTTAGCAAACTCCTTCATCACCTTCCTGTAATCACACATAAACCATAAGGGTCTCTTTGTTACAATGGAATAGAATTTAAAAGAGTGGAATGAACAAAGTAATTAATGGAATGGATCATTAGCTTTGTTATCATATCTAGTTGGCTTGAAATAACAAAATAATGTACAATAAAACGCTAGATAAAACTAAATTGATAAATAAACCAAATTATTATTTCATAAAAATAAACTTTAATCAAATTAGATATCGTTAAATAAATGGTATATGAACACATATTGATGTCGGTTGAATATAAATACTATAAATAACTTTAAATAATAAAAAGAATTGTCATCTAAAACAATTGTTTACAAAAAGTAAATACCGGTACAATGATATTTTGAAATAGAATCATAGTAGAAAAAATATTTAGTTATAACACCAAAAAAGTCATTTGGTTTTAGTTTTTAATTTATTTAATTTTAAAAACACTAGTAGTTATTGAAGATCATATAAATAAAATAAAAGTTATATATGATTATAATCTATCAACCCGAGCGAACGGAATCGCATTCCAGAATAAATTCGTTATTCCATTCTTACGTGGCGAACAAACTGCATCGATTTTTACATTTATCTCAATGATCAACAATCTATAAATAAAAAAATCATCATAATAAATTAATAAATTAATAATCATTATGTATATACTATATACCTGTATTCATCTTCAAGATCAGGGATCTCAGAGATGTTGGATTCAGGAAGATGACGGAGATAAAAAGTACTCTCCCAATCCAAATCTTCAATTTCACTTTGAACTGCTTCTAAGCCTTTACTAGCCACCATTTCTTTAAACCTTTCTTCCATACATTTCTTGTAATGCCCTTTTGTCATCTTCTCCACAGTGTCCAAAAGCTCGGTCGATATCCCATGATTCACAATCTTCAGTATAAATTATACAACAAAACAACAATAAGTTACAAGTTACAACAAATGATAGAATAGAGTACAAGTGATGATTGCATACCTCAAAGAAACCCCAGTTTTCACAAGCATCATTGATCAAGTTCATTGTTGCAGACCTTTCTTCTCCATTCAGTTTCTCCATGTTCACAACTGGGAATGTCGCCATTTTTTTCTTCTGAGTGTTTAAGTTATGTGTGTGTAGGGAAAGGTGATGTTAGTGTGTGTGGAATGAAGGTGGGGGTGGGTGCAATTTATAGAGGAATTGAAGAAGGTGGGGGGAAGTAGGAAAATTAGAAACAAGGAAAAAATGGAACAGGACTCATGCAAATTTTGCATGTAGCATTCTTTGTGGGACCCTTTTGAAAAGTTATGGTCAGCCTATGACCATGGGTCTAAATCATCTCTTTAGTTATGTCATTATCATTTTGGTTTATTGTAATTTATTGTTAAATTAACATTTCTATAAAAAACTTATTACTTGGTTCATAAATCATGTTCTGAAAAATGTATTTGTTCATTGAACTTATTATCGATACAAAGATATTGGACCAGAGATTGGGACCATAGATTCGAGACCTGAGATATTGATCAAAATTTTGGATCAAAGATTCAAGACCAATAAACACTTAGTAGATACAAATTTCGTGTATCTGGTAAACTCTGATGCTGTAAAATAAACTATGTTAACCCTTGCTTGTTTTATTTTTCTTTGTATTTTCATAGCGTGTTTGTCGTGATTAACAATAGTAATTTTTGTATTTCGGTCCACAATTTTATTATTTTATTTGGGAAAATATTGATCGAAAACATGTATTTTAAGCTCTTCTTAGAATTAAAAGAGTTATTCCGTGTTTGAATCTCACAAGATTTAATTTTAAGATTGCATTTTGAGCATTTTTTTCGTGCTTTTTGTATTTGGATTAAGTGCAATTATTACTATAATGTATTTCTTTTGTGTAAAATCTATCTTTATTTGTAATGATGTTTTAGAACATACATTTTACGTGTTTTTTGCATACTTTTTATGCAAGTGCACATGCTTTTTATTGTTGTATATATTTTTAAATGAAAAATGATTAGCCATTTTTGAAATGATGTTGTAAATCATGTATTTTACGTGCTTTTAGTATTTGGATTAAGTGCAATTATTACTATAATGTATTTCTTTTGTGTAAAATTTATCTTTATTTGTAATGATGTTTTAGAACATACATTTTACGTGTTTTTTTGCATATTTTTTATACAAGTGCACATGCTTTCTATTGTTGCATATCTTTTTAAATGAAAAATGATTAGCTATTTTTGAAATGATGTTGTAAATCATGTATTTTATGTGGTCCTCATATGCTTTTTGTACTTTGAGACGTGCATTTTGGGGTGCGGTGACTATTTTTAAGTTGTGAAGAGTGCATTGAAGTTGTACATTGATATGATTTGTCATTTTGTAGATTTCAGCCAATAATAGGTCTTTATTGAGTTGAATGAGTCTAATGTACCATTGCTATTGCATAAAATACAAATACATGAAGAATTATTGGTATGGAAAAATGATTTAATAACTTTTCCCTATTTTTGTGCTCCATGACGTAAAGATTTAGTTGCTATTTATGTTTTATGTTAAATATTTTGATTAAAGGGTGTCTGATAGTTTTCATTTGAGTCGGACGTAACTCTAAATCGGACGGACTAAGAGACATATCAGAGGAGCTAAAATCGAATTAAAGACTTCAAATTGTGATATCAAATAGTCTAAATCTCACCGAGGAGCTAAAATCGAATTAAAGACTTCAAATTGTGATATCAAATAGTCTAAATCTCACCGAGTCAGACCTAACTTCTTACCGGATTCAATAAAAAACAAATCAAAATGCCCTAAATTTAAATAAAATGTAAGGGTATGCTTATGGGTATATAAATATGTGAAATGCAAAAAATTTATCTGGGTGTGTTAAGTATAGGGGATAATGACTTAAAATGGTAATATATTTTTTGATTTGTACATATTTGGTCATTGAGTTTTATTTTTGTCCATATTTACCCATTCAACTTGTTAAACTGTACACATTCAGTCTTTATGACGGGTTATTCCAGGTTAGCCGGAAAAAATGACTTAATAGGTAATATATTTCTCATTTTGTATACATTTAGTCCTTAATATTTTTTTTGTTTCAAAATTAGTCATTTTTGTTTTTGTATTCATTCAGTACTTATGAATGATTTCTTTACGTTTTTCTCACGACATTTTACGTGGAACAATCATTGATGAGGTATTTAGGGTTGTTGATGCTTATGTTCATTGTGATCTCGACTGTTTGGTTGCGTAGATCTTGTGGTTTGACTTAGGTCTTATGTTCTAAATGTAGTAACTTCTTCATACGATATTAGATTTTAACGATCTTTATATCCAAGTGTTCGTTTTTTGAGTCTACTACAACTTTCGTTAAGATTACTCCCGTTACAATGTAATATATTTTTACTTATGGTTTTATTAAAATAAAACATCCATACATGCATTCATAAAAAAACGTATCGATATAAAGATCGTAAGTAAATATATATTACTTTTTAACTGGGGTAATATAAACAAAAGTTGTACTAGGCTAAAATACAAATGTATGAATATAAAGATCGTTAAAATCTAAGATCCTATGAAGAAGTTATGACGTTCATAACATATAACCTAAACAACCAAATATTCCATATCGCGATGAGCATAAGCATCAAAAGCCTCAAACACCTTATTAATGATTTTCCCACGTAAAATGTCATGAGAAAAACTTAAAGAAATCATTCATAAGTATTGAATGAGTACAACATCAAAAATTACTTATTTTGCAACAAAAAAAAATATATTAACGATTAAATGTGTACAAAAATATTAAGGACTAAATGTGTACAAAGCGAGAAATATATTACCCTATTAAGTCATTTTTACCTGCTAACTTGGAGTAGTCGGTCATAAGGACTGAATGTGTACAGTTTAACAAGTTGAATGGGTAAATGTGGACGGAAAAAACTCAATAAACAAATGTATACAAAACCGAAAAATATATTACCCTTTTAAATTACTATCCGACAACATTAAAATATGTTACAAGAAAGCATTACAGCTGTAAGACTTGTACTTAATGCATTAAGAGTTTATACTTCATTTTATAATTGATATTTTATATTTGATGGAAAGAGAAAACGGATCATAATTGAAATTTAGTTGCAATAAATATAGAAAGGGATTTCTGGATATTATCCTACCTATTGCGTTGTGTGGGTCCTATTGGAGTTTTTTTTAGTTATTTTTATTTTTTTGATTTTTTTATTTATGATCGGTCATCTCAAATAAGGTATTTTTTGTAGTTAAAAATTATTTTAAATAGAGTATTTTTTTATTTTAATTTTAAATAGAGTATTTAAAATTAACTAGTAGGTGATTCAGGCTTTGCCCAAAACATTTTTTTTAACTAAAGAAAATCAGAAGTGATTCAAAAATGGTTTTTGACTTTAAAAATGGATCAAAACTGAATAAAAATTAAAAATTGGGCCAAAACTAACAACTTTAATAAAGTTCAAGGACCATTTATGTCAAAAAAGAAGCCCTCCCTCACATAGTTTACTATTCATAAGGGCCTTATGCCTTTCATATGTATATAAATATACTCCATACTTCAATATTGAAGATACATTAAAGAAATCGATAATGGCAAAAGCTTGAGATTTCATTAAATCAAAAGAGGCTACATGAAGATTTTGAATAAGAATAAAACTAAGAAAAGATAAACAACTATTAGCTATGGAAACTAATCTATACTAGGATTCCTAATATAATCAAATAATGACAGTTAAGTATTCGAATTTCATTCTACATAACATAATTCAAAAGCAATTAAGGATTCAGTTATTTAAAAGGAAAAAATTCTCAAATGACCAAAATAGGAAACGGGTTTGAAAATAATGACCAAGAAAAATTAGTTTTCAAATAAAAAAAATGACCAACGTTTCTGTAGGGTTTTAGTAAATCAACCACACGTTAATTTGTGTGAGTTGTATTGTATATATGGAATAGATTAAACTCCTATAATAAAGGAGAGATAAATACATAATACATAATTGAATAATTGACTATCTAATTATCTAATATCCCCCTCAAGCGAATGGGTGGTGGACCAAGGCGTATCATCGCACGAAAGTGCTTAAATTGAGCACGCGGAAGACTTTTAGTGAAGATGTCTGCCGCCTGAAGCTTGACTGGTACAAATTTTGTGTAAAGTTTACCCGAAGCAACTAGTTCGCGAACAAAGTGGTAATCGAGATCAATATGTTTAGCACGTTTGTGAGCAACTGGGTTTTGAGTCATGAATAAGGCACTTTTGTTGTCACAAAGAAGGTGGGGTGATGAGGAGGTAGTGCATGAAGTTCTCGCAAAAGATGAGTTGTCCAAACAATTTCAGCTGTTATGTTTGCCATGGCCCGATATTCCGACTCACAACTAGAACGTGAGACGGTTGGTTGTTTCTTGGCGCTCCATGAGACTAAGTTGCCACCAAGAAAAATTGAGTAGCCATAAGTAGACCGGCAGGTCTCAAGACAACGCGCCCAATCAGCATCTGAATACCCAAGAATATTGTTGATTTGAGTTCGTCGGAAAATAAGGCCAAAAGAGACAGTTCCTTTTACATACTGTATTATACATTTCATAGACTGAAAATGAGCATCAGTAGGCGCATGAAGATATTGGCTAGCTTGATTCACAACATATGAGAGATACGGTCTAGTAATCGTTAAGTATTGAAGAGCTCCGACTAGGGATCGATAAAGAGTAGGATCAGAAAATGGTGTTCCATCAGCTGTGAAAGTCTCATGAGTGGCCAAGGGTGTTGATACTGGTTTAGAGTCAATCAAATCAGAACGAGTAAGAATATCTTTGGCGTATTTCGACTGGCTTAAGAAGAGACCATCATCAGTATAAGTGACCTCTAAACCAAGGAAGTAACTGAGAGCACCAAGATCTTTAATAACAAACTCTTTGTGTAGTCGTGCAGTGAATGTTGTAATAACAGATTCCTGATTACCAGTAAGGATGAGATCATCGACATAGACAAAAAGGTACATGATGAATGAATGTCGAGAAAAAACAAATAAGGATGTGTCAGCACAGCTACAGACAAAACCATTGGCAAGCAAGAAGGTGCTAAGGCATTGAAACTAGGCACGGGGGGCCTGTTTTAAGCTATAAAGAGCCTTAGTTAGTTTGCAAACATGATTAGGAAGCCGAGGATCAGTAAACCCAGACAGTTGCTCCATAAAAACTATCTCAGTAAG